GAGACATTAATGAGTTTTTTTATACTGAAAATAATCTCTTGATAAAACTAACAAATGCATTTTCAAAAATAATTTATGTCTGAGATTGAGAACGTTGACTACAACAATAAAGGCCATTTGCGATGACATTTTTTGCGACGACAAATGTCATTGCAAATAATACAATATTTGCAACAACATGTCGTCGCAATTACTTCCTGTTAAATAAAATAACCATGTCGTCGCTAATAACTTCAATGTCGTCGCAAATAATTTTGGAGCGCAAATTTCAATGGCGCGGATTTTTGCCGCCAAGGTAATCCATTTTTTGCGACAACAAGTCGTCGCAAATAATAAGATATTTGTGACGACAAATGTCGTTGCAAATAGTTTCATGTTATTTACGACGACATTTTCTCTTTGTCGTCGCAAATAATCTTTTTAAGATTCACCAAAGCGGGAAAAATGATTATTTGCGACGACATTTTAAATTTATTTGCGACGATAATGTCATCGCAAATAAGTCTGATCTAATATACCCTATCTTCTTCCTCTTCATTTTCCCCTGATGCTTTCTCTCTCTCTCCTGCTAAGTCTCTCTCTTTGCCTCTTCTTCCTCTCGCCTCCGCCGCCGCCTGTCGCCACCGGCCCTCTTCTCTGTCTCTTCCCTTCCCTTTTTCTTCCCTTCCCTTCTCTTTTCTTCCCCTCTCCGGCCGCCGCCGCCGCTCCCGCCGCTCCCGCCGCCCCGCCCCCACCACTCCTCTCTCCTATTCTCTCTCTCTCTTCCCTTCTCTCCCTTCTCCCCCTCTCCAGCCGCCGCCGCCGGCCGGATTCTGCCGCCGCCCCGCCGAATCATCCGTCGCTGCGTCACCGTTCGACGTTTACCGGTATGTTTTACACACTCCGGTAACTTTTTTAATGTTTTTATGTGTTTTGTTGAGTTGTTTATAAAGTGTTCATAAAAATGTCTGAATGAAGTTTCTAAACATTTACTATGAGGCTGTGTAAATGTTAGTTTATGAAAATAATTTAGAATTATTTTTGAACTAGTGGTTAATTTATTAATTTACATTATTTGTTAACATAATGATTTAATGCCGAGGAATGAATTTTTTTTGTGTATTTAAATATGTTACTCTAGATGTTAATAAAATGTTGATTTCGGTCACGTTAAATTATGTTCGATGTTTTAATTTGATGTAGGCGTTTGATTTTTCGCCTTTGTCGCTGTTTGCCCGGTTCCTTCGACGTAGTCCCGCTATTTTCAGCCCCCATTTAGTGGGTTTGAACTTTGTAAGCTTTTTATATTTTTTGTACTTTTAGTTTAAAATTGTTGGAGTTTTTAGTTGTATGAATTCGGGATTATGATTTTGATATTTGAACTATGATTTTCTTATATTGTTGTAATTTAGTATATGTTTGTGATTCTTATTTTGGGTGGCACATCTTGTAACTATGGTATGCCGAAATCTTTTAAAGTTGTCTTTCTGCAGGTTTAGATTTTTGGATCATAAGAAAAATAAGTCGTTATGTTGCCGAAATTTAGTTATAAAATGAGAATTTTAATAAGTTCATTAACAAACTTTAATGAATAAAATTTAATTGTGTTAATAAAGAGTAAAATTAGAATTAATTAAACACATTAATAAATTATTATGTTTGTTGTTGTGTATAGTTGAAATGCCGATTGACAAAAGTTGGATTTATTTGAGGAATTGATTGTCGGATCAATATATGAATGGGTTATCTGTTTTTATTGAGGTCGCCAAAAATTACGAAACTTCAAGTGGCCATATCAGCTGTCCTTGGCCATATCAGGTGAAGGTGTTAGAGTTGATGGCTAAATTACAGCCCAACATCCAATTACCTACGATTGATCGTCCATAACCACTTGACCTAGACGCTCCTTTGCCTCCTTCAGATGATGATGGTCCTGATGGTGATTCAGATGCTGACAATGCTGCAAACTTCGACGATTAGTTCCGTTATATGTACTTTTTTATTTTTCACTTTCTTTAGACTTTTATATTTTTTTGAACATTATATACAGGAATTGCCGGCTTTAGCGACGATTTCTTATTGACGACATATGTCGTTACTAAAAGTGATCTACAGCGACGACATGTTGTCGCTAAAAATCCAGTAAAGAAGACTCTGAATTTAATTCAATCAGTTAGTTGAAGGTTTAAAAAATTGATGAATTTGTCCTCTTTATATGCTTTGCATATGCTTTTCCATTCAAAAGTAGCATATTTCAAAGTTCGGGAGTGAATTTTGAAATATATATATATAT